TATCGTCATGTCTCTGGAGGAAACCACACAACATGGGGAGGACATGTGAACTGCAAACACGCAGAGCGAAGGCAGAATCCAAGCCCTTATCCCTGGAAATGTGTGGGAACAGTGCTGGCCAATGCTGGAGTGGTTAAACGGGAAACACAATTTTATTTTAATGTCAGGCAGGACAATAAACACTTAGAACCACTGTGCTGACTGCAAAAAAATATTTAGTTTTTTTAAACTAATTTAATGATATCTTGTGATGGGCCTATAAAATAATTACAGTACAGACTCAGCTCCCAAGTCCAAGTTCCTGCCCCTACACTGTGCTTGCACCATGCTTATCACAATTGCCATTGGAATCCTGATACTCAAAGTTTAGCTGATCTGGCCATAACGATACATACTGCACCACTGAGTTAATAGGGATGAGACGTATGAGGAAGCTGCAGTAATGTTTTTAACTTTCATTACCTAGTGAAACACCTAAACTAGAAAAGCCCTCATAACATTAAAGGAACTAAGAGTGCTTTTGATACATCAGCTGTCTCCTCATAACTAAAACCACGTCACTGCTGGATCCATGACATGACCTGTCTCTCAGTGTCCGTAAGCGCGGCGCCCCGGCCCGTTCTCTCAGTGTCCGTAAGCGTGGCGCCCCGGCCCGTTCTCTCAGTGTCCGTAAGCGTGGCGCCCCAGCCCGTTCTCTCAGTCTACGTAAGCGTGGCGCCCCAGCCCGTTCATTCTGTGTGCGTAAGCGTGACGCCCCAGCCCGTTCTCTCTGTATCCGTAAGCGCGGCGCCCCAGCCCGTTCGCTCTGTGTGCGTAAGCGTGGTGCCCCAGCCCGTTCTCTCAGTGTCCGTAAGCGCGGCGCCCCAGCCCGTTCTCTCGGTGTCCATAAGCGCGGCGCCCCAGCCCGTTCGCTCTGTGTGCGTAAGCGCGGCGCCTCAGCCCGTTCTCTCAGTGTCCGTAAGCCCGTTCTTTCAGTGTCCGTAAGCGTGGCGCCCCAGCCCGTTCTCTCAGTGTCCGTAAGCGTGGCGCCCCAGCCCGTTCTCTCAGTGTCTGTAAGCGTGGCGCCCCAGCCCGTTCTTTCAGTGTCCGTAAGCGTGGCGCCCCAGCCCCTTCTCTCAGTGGTTGAAATTAGGGAGGGAGGCGTGGTTGCAGAACACATGACGGAGGGATGGAACCGTCCCGACCGCACTGATCATTTGTAGGAGCGTCGGCGGTGGGGAAGTGCTGTGGCCACGGTGTACTCCACGGACAGACGCGCAAAACTCAACACATACAAAAAAGCAGAACTTCTGCTTATAACACTTCCGTGTTCAAAATGGCTGATTCTATGCAACCGGGCAACGAAGGCGACGGTGCTGAGAATGTGAGAGGTTTTGCCAGGCAAGACACGCTGAGGCAGAAGAAAGTCCATGAAGTAAACAATCACAAGTTTGTCGCCCGTTTGTTCAAGCAGCCGACCTTCTGCAGCCACTGCACGGACTTTATCTGGTGAGGCGCCGTCCTGACTCTGTGCTCTTGCCTTAGGGGAAGGCGACGCTCCTATTTCCCATACTTTAATGCAGATCACAGGTGACACACTTGCTGCTCTGTAAAACAATTGCCAAGATAAATGTATTATATTTTATTTTAATCAAAATAATTGTCTATATCAGGCACAAGCAACGCTGAGTTTCAAATACGTTACTTTGTGGACTGTAATCTATGGATAGAAACCATGACTGAAAATGTCTTTGCAAAATGAAAAATTGTACAGTAAGTCACTTAACCTGTTGGTATGTAGCAATAAACATCTGTCTGTTGTTAATTTCGCTAATGTATTTAACGACTAGGCTACATAACCAGCTTGTGCAATTAATCTGCGCTTGTGTTGATTTTGGTACATTGAAGCCAAGCAAATTAATGCAGTGGGTTGAACATCTGCTTTTCAGATTTTGTTGAAATGGAAATACATATCACTATTACATGTGATGTCAGTGCAATTATCAGGATAGATTGAATCTGTTTTTGTTTGTTATTTTAGGGGAATCGGAAAACAAGGATACCAGTGTGAAGGTAAGGGAAAGTACGCCCTTTCAATGTAGCATTAGTTAACAATTTATTTTCAAGATGGTCGCCACTTTTTTGACATCAAGCAAAAACAAAGCTTCGAGAAGAAAAAAAACCGAAGCAAAAGAAATGTTATCTCAAAAGTAAAATTTATAACTTGCAATCACATGATTGGTCTTTTGATAATGTTTTCCTTTGTTTACGCTGCCAGCTTTCTCGCTTGCGCTGCCCTTACTTGTTTACAGTTCTGACACAAAACTTCTCGCGTGGGCGGGTATTTTCCGGGACGCGTCCCCATTGGCTAATAAGTTTTTGACTGACAGGTCAGTGCCACGGACATTTTTAATTAACAGCGGGACTGGACATTCACTACGCACTAACTAATTTTTACTGGATCCGACAACAAGATTAACAAAGTGTAAGTGTTGATCGATGTTTGTGCGGCACTATACATTTTATTGTGCAAAATTAGAAGTAAAGTTAAGCTTTGCTATGTAATTTAGCTTTTACCTCATTAACGTTAGCTTACTTGCTAACGTCAACCTTATTCTCCACTTTTATTTCCTGTTAAGTACAGTGCTTTTATAGGAATTGTAGTATATTTCAAAATGTTAACTATAAATATCTGTGGCATTGATCTGTCAGTAAAAAACGTATTAGCCAATGGGGACACGTCCCTGAAAAAAACCGCCCACGCCATCCTGATAGACTTGTTATGGATCATCAGGATGTGCTTTTAGTAGTTGAACCTGTGACAGCAACAGGGCGGACATACACAATTTCAAGCAAAGACACAATAGTTGCATCAAAGGCTCTGATGAACTATAAACTGAGAGTATAGCAATTGTTTATGTTCTTACATTCCCACCTTCCCTTTAAACATTCCTGCTAGTATGTAACTTATGCATTATTACACCAATGTTGAAATGCTTTCCTTGCCCTAGTAGCATAAGCCTATCTAGTTTGCTTATTTTTGTTAGTTTTTCAGGTTTTTGACAAATGAAGGCCCTTTTTGATAGGCCAGTGTCTAGTCAAAAGTGTAAACTAAAAAGGAAAATAAACTATTTTGATTGTACCATTAATTCTCTTTTTCCATTAATTTTTAATAGTAATTTAAATTACATTTCCACAGCTAGTTCTGGCAATAGTTGTAGTTGTCATGAAAAATAACCCTGTACCATGCATTTATCACTAACTGCTATTCTGCTTCTCCTAACAGCATTGTAAGGAACTGTGGTTTTGATACACATTTCACATAAGTAATGATATCTCAGCAACAACTCAAAAACCAAAGACCAAATTTTCTGGAGATGTTCATGTCATTATGAGGTAGCGTTAGTAAAAAAATGATCTATTTTGAAATATAGGTTTTTTTGTTATTGAATTTTTAATATTTTAATCAGTTATTACATAGTAATTATTCGTATGGGATGGCATATTATTTGTTCAATCTATAGAGCTGGACAATAGTTTTAAAACAACATAAGTACAATTTCTGTGCAGCTTATATTAAGGTAAATATAGCCAAAGTCATAGTCGTCCCCCCCCTCAAAAAAAAACAAAGTTAAAAATTTGTTCGCTTAAATTTCCCTCAATATTGATCCAAGACACGCCCAATTTCAGTTTCATGATTTACTCATGTGACCAAATCAGCATGCCAAGTTTTGTTAAAATCCGTGACGATAAGGTCCGAAAGAGTGATGATTTGACATGGAATGACCCGGGTGTGTTGACTGGCCCAAAGTACAAAATCTCTGTAAACTTATCAGTATGTCAGAGGGTGATTTAACAATGTTTAACTATGGTCTTCAATAGAAGTACAAAGTCCCTGTCAGTGACCTTGTAATGAATTATTTGTAGAAAGGTCCAATTATTACAGTTAAAAAAGATCTTTAAAATAGTTTCTTTACATGCCAGTACGTATCGTATTTGGTATTCATATTATTCAAATTTCCTTGTGTTTTTAAGACAAATGGCTAGCTTTAGCATCGTAGGAATAGCGCCAGGGCGTTTCCCCTTCAGATGCTTGTGCCCCTGTAGTATGCCAGTGAACTTTGCACAGTGTAAAACCACCTTTTTGTTTTGTGATAATTTGAACTACTCCCATGATTATGTAGTGATATAAAAGGAAAGCATTTGTTATAATGAACTGAAGCGTTTTAGAAATCATGAAGGTAATTTCATTAAAATAATAAGAGAAACGATGCGTCAATTTAAAATGTCAACACATTTTCAGCGTTGACGTCATCTACTACATCGACTCATCGCGGCAGTGCTAGTCAACGGGTGACTTTAATCATGCATCACTGGACTCCACACTGCCCAGCTTCACCCAGTATCTTATCTTATCTATGTGAAATATCAATAAAAGGCTGTGTCCTGTTATGATCGCGATCGATCCCCCAAGTAATTAACCAATAACTAATAAAACTTGTTCAAATAAATGTTTTGTGCTGTAATGTTTAATGTAGTTTTCTTGTTGTTGAAATTGATTTAAAAACATATTGGTATCGAAAAAGTGTTGTTCAGGACCTGGTATCGAAATCAAGGAATCATTCTATTACTGGTATTGGAAAAAGTTTGAGCAATGCCCAGCCCTACCTTTCACACATGCTTGGATGTCCTGACCACCTCTCTGGCTTTTGTAGTTGGAATGTGTCAATATGTGTCACCTGAATTATGATTTGGACCATCTGCCCATTTTGGGGGAAGGGTGGTGTTTGTGGACTATACATTTATTTAATCATTCCCATTTTTATTTATTGCTCTCTGTGTTTAATGCTTTCTTAAATAGCATTTGGTTTACGTAGTTTACATTAATGTAAAATGACTAATTAACTATCTCATTATTGGCTAAGAATTTATTTTCTCGGGGTTTATCTCTGATCTGGTGGCTCTTTTGTTTATGGTCCTGTCTTCTCAATCATAGGGTTAGTTATTCTTATAAGCCAGTGCGTACAGCACAGAGGAATCACGTCATGCCATCGCCTCAAGATTAGTCATCACGCTCCACACACCTGCTTGCCATCGCGTGCTTGTAGTGGAAGAACGAGGAGAGTGATGGAAGCGCCATGCTGCTCTTTTTTTTTGCATGCACGATGGATTCACGAAAGGCATTTAATCGTGTACATTGTACGAATGCCAAATACGTCCCTGTGACTGATTCCACTACAGCATATCTTGCATCTGTTTTTTGTTTTTGCCTGTTAAATAATCGCAATAGTAGTTATATCTACAGGGATTGTGTGTGTGTGTGGTGCCATTTAGAAATCTCAGCCTCTACTTTTTAGGTTATTTTGGACTCTGCTTTGTCCCTACCAAAATGGCTGTTGAACATAAACTTCTAATCTCTTCTCTGTAAATGGCTCCCCTGATTTGTTTTGTCCCGGTTGGCTTGAAGAATTGCCATTTTGATTCTGACCTGTTCCTCTTGCTGTTTTCGCTGATAGCCCCCCTCCCGACACACACGGCCCATTGTTCCCATCTGCCTTCATTAACTGACAGTTACTCTTCTCCTCTCCTGTTTTTACAGTCTGCCGCTTTGTGGTGCACAAGCGCTGCCATGAACTTGTCACCTTCTCCTGTCCTGGAGCAGATAAGGATCCTGACTCAGATGTGAGTACAACACTGGCCACCCTAATTCTAATGGAGAATTCCTCTGGGTCGGTTCACGAGGAAAGATCTAGAATAATAGTTTCAGCATTGAGATCTATAGCAAACACAGAATAAGTCCGACATTGTGAAAAGTGGAAGTACCATTATTTAGGACAGTAAAATTCTCTGTGATTAATTATATAATTCATTTGAAAAGGAAATAATGATTCAGGTGAAAGTCCATATTCCTGTTTTTTTTTCCTGGGTGTGGATTAAATAATGAAATAATGAATAAATAAATCAGCTTGCTATCAGGAAGTTGTTTTGGGGGGGGGGGGGTTTCCATTTATACACATTTGACAGGTGTTTGTGCATTCACTCGTGTCATTCCAGTGGTTCATCACAAGCCTCCATAACACACTCTGCTTTATCTTCTCTGTGTTGAACATAGCTGTCAAGTCTCCCGTTTTGGCCGGGAAACTACCGTATTTTACCCCTCTTTCCCGCCGTCCTCCCGTATTAGTATTTTCCCGTAAATCTCCCGTATTATAATATCATAAAAAAAAAATTCCTCTGCCTCTCCAAACTGAACTGCCAGTAGCCTCGCGAGAACTACCACCTGCAGTAGTCTGCAGGTCATTTACAACATTAACCAGGTCATAAATGCGGAGGTTAAAATGGCAATGCTGTGTGCGGAAAAACGTAACTTTCACCTTCTGTGACGACTTCAAGGATACAAAGTCTGCAACAAATCTGTATAATAAGTCATTAGTGAATGCCAGAGAGCCTCATTAGTGAACATGAGAAATTAAAAGAAAATGTGTAATGAAAATAAAATGTAAATAACAAGTGGTTATTTTAGATTTCTTGTACCCCTGTCTTAAAATGTAAGGGATACTGGAGCTTGCTGGTTGGGGTGGTGGGGTGGCTCGCGGTGGGTGCCGGAAAATTTCCCTTATTTTCAAATCCAAAACTTGACAGGTATGGTGTTGAATGCTTGTTAACAGTATTCAGTCCCTTGCAGATAATTTTGGGATCTGTTTTATTCAGAATAAACAAATGCCATGTGCCTTAAACACTATTCATAAATAAAAATTAAATTGTCAATGGATTGGTAAGTAAAACATTCATCACAATAGTCGTTCTAGAACATTCAGTGCTGCATGCTCCACTGTCTGTAGAACACGGCTCCGCCCAGACGTAGCTATAAGGTGTAGCTTTTTTTGTAGCCTCACAGAGTGGGTCAGTCTACCGTTCTGTATCTGCCGCTCATACACAAATGAGCAGGTAGAGATGGCAGCTGTGCTTTAATTAAGGTACCGTCAGTCCCCAGGGTTTGCTCTAAACCCCTTGGTTTGAGACTATCAGGGCAGCTTTAGTACTGTAGCATAAATATTATAGCCTTACTTCATGCCTTAGGTCTGTGAGAGGAAGCCAGTGCAATACAGGGAGAACATGCAACCTCCAAACACACACAATGGAGGTGGGACTTAAACCCCAAATCCTGGAACTGTACTACCCACTGAGCCAGCGTGCCATCCTTCAGCCTCAAAGTCGAACTGGCTTATGTGGTAGAAAAATTATAAATCAGGTTCCGAAGCAGCTTTGGGGTCCTTCACTTTGCCGTCCCAGTGTTTCCAGTGTAACGCATCAAGGGAGACCGATCGGACCATCCTAAGTTCAGCGTCTACCGGGACACCTTTAATTGGCAGTGCAGTGGCATTTTCAGTGAAGTTCCCTCATCGCAGCAGCATGACCAGCAACTACCCACAAACTCTCAAAGCTTCTTAATCTTAATTCACTAAACGATTAACTGTGCGACTGAGGGTCCTTCCCAATTCCGTATCTTAGCACTGAGAATAGCGACGTTCCCGATTTCTTGGATGGGAGATGGCGCCATGAGGTGTGCAGAGTGTGACTCCCACAAGGAATTATCTCCGGATTGTGCTTCTGCCAAGGGAGACCTTGGCAACTTGAAATTCCAGCTAATGTCGAGCGCCTGAAATCTTTGCACTGTGAAACCACTGGTATTTTCGCTGGGGGTTTTTTCTTCCCATGCCCCCCCCCCCCCCCCCAAAAAAAAAACAGAAAATGACAGAGCTTCTGTATACTTCATAGACTGAATTGTTGGATCTGCCAT